CTACAGTATCCGATGCAGCCGGCTCCTGCACAACAGCAGACAGCACCTGTTTCTCAGCGACATCAGAATCCTATGGTCGTCCCACAAGCGACTTCTCAACGGCCTGCCACACCTACATTGTCTAGTTTGGGACAAAATTATGCGGGAGCGCTTAATGCTCCTTACTCCGGACCACTGCCGCCTCCACAACCGGCTCCATATCCTCCAATGAGTGTCAATGCTCCTGTGAGTCAAATAGCACAACAGCCAGGAATGGAACAGAAGTTTGCGCCATCACAGCCTTCACAGCAGCCCATGCAAGCACTGAATGGTCCGCAGATGTCACAAAACCCCGTGCAGCCTGGGCAGCAACAGCAACAACAATTTATGACAATGCCAACAAATGGTCAGTTAGGTGGTGTTCCACAAACAGCGCAACCTACTTCAGTAGCTTCTCGCCCAGTAAGTTCCTGATTTCCGTCTCTATTTTATGTAATAGAGGATTATTTTCTGAAGAGCTCGCAGCCGCAGCCATCCCCTGTGCCACAGAATCCCCAACAACCATTGCCGAATCAATCCGGGCCAGCTTTTGCTCCTGTTCAACCCAATAGAAATTCGCCATGGCATATTGGAGTTGTACCAAGCCAGGTAAAGGTTTTTTTCTTTTTTTTTGTTGATCACTCTGTTTTATGCGAATTTTCGAATCAGTTTCAATGATATTCTCTGTTTCCAGTCACCATCTCCTTGGCACATGGGAGTTGGTCCAAGTGGAGTAGTTTCCAATACATCGACTGTTCCTGCTGCTCCCTTGCCCCCACAACAATACCAACCAGCACCAGTCCAACCGGTGAGTACTTCTCTGTATTACCGTTAATACTGCTAAGCTAAGCAATGTGGATACCTCCTCGTTAAACCTTACATATTGTTGTGATAAACAATGAAAGAAAAAGCGTCTGTTGAGGCATAAAACGTCCCGTTTGTGGTTTTCAGACTTTTACTCAAAGTTTCTAATTCTCTGCCTAAAAACCTTTCCTTCTAAAAGCTTGAAATTATATGGTTTTACAAAAACTATTAATACCGCTGATTGT